CATTGGCATTACTGTTCTGACACTTCCAGTAATTTCGTTTTCGCTTTAGTTGCCAAATAGCACAAGCATTTTTGGCAAACTACAAGCAACAATGTTGTGATTTTTTCTTTGATTCAAGAGGGTCAACCAATTTGATTTCTTAGTCCGTTTGTTATGTTGTTCAGCTTCCAGCAGCTTGGTTGTGTTTTTGTTTTTTATGTTATAATAAAATTACAAATTGACAGAAATCTTGAATACTTGCCACTGAATATACATAAACACCTAAACTTGCCAACACAAAAACTTTAGAAAACCATCTCGGTACAGTTTGTTTGTTGTTCTGTCAGTCTACTCCATGGTTTAAAAGTACATTTTATTTATATTTCAGTGCCTTAACATAACATAGTGCTAAACTACCATGTAGCGTAAAACTCCATTTCATATCGTTACCTATATTAGTATAATATTAGTATTGTTTTTTTTAACTCAGTTTGAGTTCACAAAGCTAATAACGTTTTTTATAGGGTATAGATTTTTGGCATCTTGGCATCCCACATAGGTATGAATGCTTATTTGGTTTGTATGCTTGTCAACTCGGCGCCCCTCTCAGAGAGTTCACATAGGTAATGTTTGTTCGATATTTGTCTATTGATGTTCGATGATTGACGAGTGGTTGAACTTTTAGTCTTGAATTATGATTTAGTTCACCTTGAAACTCCGGTCAAGAGCGCACCTGTTAGTCCGAAACGCTGGTCCCTATTTGCCTTATGCGTTATAATTTATAAGGGAAAACGGACACTTACAAACGAACCCAGGGCGAACATGTGTTAGGGCGAACGGATCCAATACCATGAGATTTCGACTGGGTGTGAGTAACTGCTTAAGATCTCAATATAAAACTGGTACTCGGTGCTTTTAAACACTTTTTGAAAATCTTTAATCAGGCGTCACTGAACAACATGTAGCTTTTTGTCTATAGCCGGTAAGCAACTTGCGAAAACGAAACTGCGATCTTGAGCTAGTTACAACAGAATCAAATCCGTTATTTCCAAGTAAGAGTGACAAGACGTTTCGTACTCAACGTAAACGGTTCTTTCTTTATCGGGCGATTTGGACTGTGCAATATCGTAAACTTCACAGTTGTCAGAGTCACCGGACTATTCACATGTGTAACTGGTCATCTTTGACCAATGACCGACCTGTATAAATAATATTAATAATAATATATATCAGATAAGAACCAAACACCACATAGTTTATCTCTTCTTATCTCTCGGATATATTTCAGTTTTACTTTTATTATTATCTAACAGAGTGGTCAGCTTCTTAACTTTTCTTACCCTTTCTATAAAATAAATTATCAGAATATTTATGGCAGAGAGTGACCCACTAGTGTATTACACAAGACATCACGTAATACTGGATTATATTCTAGAGGGTGATCCATTGTTGTTTATAGAAACACCAGACATCACCGAGCTCTGGATTATATTCTAGAGAGTGATCCACTGTTATACTATTGTCTGTTTATAGAAACACCAGACATCACCTAACTCTAGATTATATTCTAGAGAGTGGTCCACTGTTGTTCTATTGTTTGTTTTTAGAAACACCAGACATCACCTAACTCTGGGTTATATTCTTCTAGAGAGTGATCCACCGTTATACTATTGTTGGTTACTGTTGTATTATTATCTGTTTATAGAAACACCAGCCATCAACCAACTCTAGTTTATATTCCAGAGAGTGGGCTACTGTTGTACTATTGTCTGTTTATAGAAACACCAGACATCACCTAACTCTGCGTTATCTTCCAGAGAGTGGTCCAAAAAGTGAAAGCAAATTTGCAACCTTTTCTTTAAGTATTCCGGTCTTTGATGATTTAAGATAATGTATTTATATCATATTAGTTGAACGAATTCTCGATACAATAACTTAAGATATCTTAATTCCTTTGTATTTCTAAAAACGTAAATATAAAAAAAGTGAAAACAAATGTATTAACGTTTTTTGTTTCGAGATTTTTCTGTTACGCAGTTAAAATCAAAAACTGATTTACACGTTTTAATCGAGCTGTAGAGTATCATATTTTGCATGTGACCTGAATTAATAAAATTTCACCAAGATAATAAAAGTGTTACAGTCGTCAGTGATGTTATTATTGACTGATTTTATTTTTTTTTTTATATAAGTTGATAAAACTGGAATACGTAGAATAATCTCTTCAGTTAAGGTCTAACGACAGCCCTCTTTAACATTCATCAAATTAACCTATTGACCTAGCTCGATGACACCTATATGAATATATACATACTGTTTACCTGTAACTATCAGGTTACCACCTATAATAACTCACCATCACAATAAATAGTTTATGTAACTTGTTGTTTGAAATGGAATGGTACCAAGGTTGCCAGGTTACCTGTTAACCCCGGCACTCTGACACAGTTCCAGTTCCACGCCTATCTCGGTTAATGTTTGTTTGGGTTCTTGTTCCCAGAAAAAACTAACATTATTCTGCTCTTGATATATCTTTATACAAAGGAGGTATGACACTTTTTGAAGCTGAAATTCCTAGTTTGAGATATTTTTGAAGGAATTGTGCGATTTTCATACATTTCTAGACTTTCTGAAGGCTGTTTCAATGTATTTAAATATGCAGTGGAGCCGCCTTTTTCAAGTTGCCGATAATCCAGACGCTTTTTGGGAACGGACTATTTACTATGTAAAAGAAACCGTTAATCCGGTCACCCTGCTCCACTGTATTCAAGACCCAGATAATGGCGGGCCATGCCCTTTAAGCCTCCAGAAATAATTATAATACCCATTGTTTCTTGTTCACTGATCCAGTGAATTACATATGAAACTTTGTGAAGTCGTTTTAATCCGACCTCGCAATACCCTCTTAAAATACCCAAGGACAAAGATGCCCATCTGTCAACTGATGATAGTCAGCGAGTCAACACGTTGTCAACATGGAATGTACACGAGGGGAAGTGTGACTAACAGTGAATTGATGACTGTATCGTCAATGACAATTATTATAGAAACCATGTTAGTTAACCCCAAAAAACCCTGAGGACTTCTGTCGACAGAATAGACAATAATGGCATTACTAATACTTGGAGCAAATTTTTTATTTTTTTTTTTTGTTGTTGACAGAATTAAATCTGAGGACTCGGACGGGGTTTTACCCTTGTGTTAAAAGTGAAAATATCCGAGAGATTTACATTATATTTGTAGAGTTACTCCCGACCTCCTGACTTATTGCCTCATCTGAACATAGTTAATACCACTGTCCTGACGATATTTCCTACTGCGCACTGCATGGCGTTGTCCGTCTTCACAGTAAGGTGTTGGAAAGAAGGACGTAAAACTCTGTTGAATTTTATTTTGGACAAAGTTAATATGTTAGTATGAAGTTTTATTGTCCTCAGTAAAACTATTATTACATTTCCTTATCAAAGTTATTGGCCTTACTGTATCATATATAGTACATCAACATATTATATACAGTACATCAACATATTATATACAGTACATCAACATATTATATATAGTACATCAACATATTATATATAGTACATCGAATGATTTTGATTCTAAATATTTTTTTCTCATCTGATATCTTTCAATTAAAATTTGTCTTCTGGTTCTCCTGCAAAACAACTAAGCAATTATTACCAGTGACGTTATAGCTTCAGCAGTTTTTATGCAGTTATTACCAGTTAGGTCATAGCGTCAACAGTATCAATGCAATAATTACCAGTGACGTCATAGGGTTTAACAACACTGACAAATTTCACTCTGACAATGTCCACTAGTGCGTTTCTTTTTTTAATTGTAAACTAACCGAATACACGGTTTTCATCCTGAAAAGTATTACGGATAGCTGACATTGAGGTCTGTCAGTTGTTAACCAATATTTAGGAACCTATGTTCTTGGCTCTACTTGGTAATACCTTCAAACTGATTTGTAGATTGTGATATACAGGTGGTTTTACTATACAGTGTCCACGTTCTTACTTCGTGTGACCTGAATGAGGTAACCGCATTAATAATAACAGGTCTCAATATCTTGCTACAGACTTATTTCTAGCTCTAGTATTTATATTAGTCTATGACATAATATTCTAGATATCAAATTAAATGGAGGTTATCGTCTAGAAAGAAAGAAACAATACTTTTTTTAAAAGAGATAATAACAAGCCTTGTTTGATTTCCATTGTGAACGTGTCGCCTAGAATGTAACGTTTATTGATAAATGACTTATTTTATTTGCAAGAGCATAAATTACGTTGAGGCAACTGTTTCTTCCGACTTTCAAAGTTTTGCAGCTTCGGGGGTAACTTAACTTTTACGCGCGACAGGAGAGATCCCTTTTTGTTTACATTATTGACTCGGGTTTCAATATCTACATGTATGCAATATCTACATGTATACATAATATAACATTTATAGCCCAAATAACTCTGTCTCTTGTACTCAAAATACAACCGTAGTGATAATAGTAAAACCGATTTTAAACCTTGATAAATCTTGACATCGAATAATCATAAACTTTCTCAAAACAAAAACCCCAAAAACCTTGAAGTTTGACCTTGGTTATCTGTGAATTCTAAAAATACTGAAACTAAAAGATAGCTAATTCTAGATAGAGAGAGTTCTAGACCTGCTGATAGACAATGAGATAGTCCATACTGTAGAATGTTTAAATGCAATTTTGATGAGCTAAGCAAGATTGCGATTTTATCTGTAAATGTATCAGAACAATTCACCGAATTATAAAACCAGCTGTAATGCAGGTCGCTCACCGATTTATTCTAGACGCACGTTGTAAACACTCATCATATGATAAGATTCAACTTCAACCTATAACACTCAAATTATCCAATCAGAATGGAGTATTTAGTCGATCAGCCAATGAAATTAGAGTATTGAAAGGCCGATGTTGGTAAACAAAGCGGCGTGTTTCATGGTATAAATAGTCAATGTTTTGATTTGGTTCCTCAGATAATTCCAACTGCTGTATAGGAATCAGATAAAAGTTTGAGAATTTTGTCAAGTTTTAAGAATTTGTAATTAATATGAAGGAATATAGAGGACTGTCGACTAGTCCGTCAACGGACGATGGCTATTCTACAGGTAGGGTTGTTTTGAATCTCGCACGAAATGTACGCGCATTATCTATTTTACTATTTTCATTTTCAGTGTCATGTTGAAATGCAATTTTGTTTTGATTTAGGTTTTTGTTTTAAAATAAATCTGTATGAAATGCATTCATTTTCAGAAAGTTTATAATTGCAGATTTTTGTACATTTGAATGGTTCCGTTATCTTCAATTCATATATATATATCTGTATATGAGCAGGTTTTTGTCAACCTGCACAATTTTATTTGTCATGCATTTAAATTTCTATTCCCAGGGTAAAAGTAGGGCAAGCACTCTACGTACTATCTACGAAATGTTAGAGAATAAAATTGTCTGCATCAATAGAATAACAAAAGTATTGTATATTTGTATATTTTAGATAACTCGGATGTGTCGTTGTGTGATTTAGACTCGGTTTTAAACGAGGTAAGTTGATTGTAATATTTTTCATTTTTGGAAGGATGTGGGGAAGGGATGTGTCCTACTTGGTGATGTGCAATTCTCGAGTGAAAAAAATGCATTGCATATTGCGATTATTTGTACAGGTTCACAGAGATTGCTTATTTGACTGAAACACCAAGTATCATTCTGTGATTGCGCTTCTCAACCTTGTAGCTGTTAAGTATGCTAATCTAAGGTCTCACTGTGCAGAATTTAATGGCACTGATCTTGGTCCAATATGATATTGATGGGTAGATGACCAACTCAATCTTAAGGTGGCATCATGTGTTCAGGAAGGGACGCATGCCCCGACACTCAGTGATCCACAGTGGATTGAATTAATGCGTCTATTTCACGTCGCTGTCGATTGACCTCTTTCTAGAAATTAAAACTATTATTCTGAGTTCTTTGTTCTGATGGTAAATTATTCAGTTCAAGGCCGTGGCAATAATTAACATAAATTAACCGATTTTCTATCATGTGTCGCCATCGTTTAACATCGCTAACAGCTGATTTGGTAAACAAATAGATCACATGACTAATATCTCGTCTGTCATTGGTTGAGACATAGTTGAAGGATTCTGATTGGTTAAACTGTAATTATTTTCTCACGGTGCCTCGATGACCCAGTTCATTCACCGACTTACTGAAACTAGATTATCAGTAAAAGTGTTCAATCAGCTGGGGCTTACGTCATGTGACATAATCTAGATTTTACTCAATATCAGAAGACTTTGACTAATCACAAATTTTAAAGAGAGAAGATCGCGAAAAAAAATTGAAAAAAAAAATCAAAATCAAAAAATATATAGAGTAAAAACCAAAGAAAGGGATTCATTTTTCTTGAAACAAATTAATTTTTGATGACCTATGATTTCCACCTGTTTTTTTTTTATTTTACTTCGAGTCTTTTGTAGAAATATTTCAGGATAATGCCCACCTAGTATGATGTATATGTTTTATTATTTCAGCCTACATTTGGTATATTGTTTGACGTTGATGGTGTTTTAGCAAGAGGTAGTACTCCCCTGGACCCCGCTAAGAAAGCTTTTGAAAGATTGAAGGACAGTCAAGGAAACCTACGAGTTCCTGTAGCCTATGTGACCAATGCTACAAACAGAAGTCATGATAAGGCAGCCCAGATCTGCAGGTGGTTCGAAACACCAGTAAGTTTACTATCAAATTTTAATACCGTATATTTGCGTGTATACTACGCAGATTGTTCACCATATCGGTATTAGGGAGTGAAAGCCGGAAGCACTAGCGGAGGCCTTAGTATTTTTAGTACCTTGAGGTACCTGCAAATTCGTAGTAGTATATTGCCTGTTTATTGAATTTCAATAGTGTCACATACATGTACTTTTAATTATACGCGTTATTTCCTTCTTATTGTCAGATCGGTTGATTAAAATCATAGTTTACATCTCTCTGAATATAATTTACTTCTGTATTAGCTCAATCTGGTACAGACGAATAATACGTCAAACTCGTATTTCGTTTCGTCTCTCGTATATTTATATTTCTCTGTTCTATATTTTAGGTATCCCCAGAAAATGTGATCCATGCCCCGACCCCAGCTAAATTATTACGAGAATATCACGATCGACATGTTCTGGTTATTGGACAAGAACATCGTATAGAAATCGCTGAAGAGTATCCTTTATTATAGTAATATAGATTAGTATCCTCATTGCGCGCTGTATAGGGTAGGAAATCTGGTTTGGGGTTAGCATAGGTTTTGAAATTGGTTTTAAGTACGCCAAAAGCAACCACCGTGGATTCAATAATTTCCTTTGAATAACAGTGATTCGAACCCATGGTATCTAACAACAGACGACAATCTTCCTGCCAACCGAGTTTTCTGAACGACAATCTTCCTGCCAACTGAGTTTTCTGGTGATTATTTTGACTTTGATTGATTATCCTGACAACTGAAAACTATTCTAATACTAATACTTATACTTCTAGTTGTTTAATATGTTATATTGTATATACACTTTTATACCATCCTTCGGTGTCTTCATAATGTCAAGCTATTACGAACTATGAGATGTCGATCGTAATTACTTGACTTCATGAAAGAGATATCTTAACATACAAAGTCTCTTGCATTGGATTTATTTGCCTTAACCGATCTCTAGTCTTGGATTTACCAATCTATGTACGATGGAAGATGTAGCCGCCGCCTATCCTCTATTAGATATGGTGGATCACGATAACAGAGTCGTTATTGTAAGTATATATACTCTATATATTAAGATGCATGTGCATTTAGGTCAAGTTGTATTTTACACGTGCATATGGACATTACGTCATTTAATCATAATATTGTCCTACATTTCTGCCTTTTTGATCGATTTTTCGTGGTTTGTAAATTGATCAAACATCAATGCTTTGCTTTTCCATGGACCGCCAAATAAATAACACACAGAGAACTTTGTATTAAACCTCTTCTGTTATTTTTCAGGCCAGCGGTAACTACACAGAGAATCCCAATTTTCCCCGAGTTGAAGCTGTGTTGATGATTGGAGAACCTAAACGCTGGGAAACAAACCTACAGTTGTTAGTAGATTTATTATTAACAGAGGGTAAACCAACCCGAGCACCAGAAGATGTCCACACAGTACCACAACTTCCTATAATAGCCTGTAATATGGATCTACAGTTTATGGCAGAGGCCTGTATGCCCAGGTGAGAATACGTTCAGCACGTTTTTTAATTTTTAATACTTCAAGATGTAAATTATTGAAATGTAAACAGATTGATTTACCACCCCATTAAGAGACCGGTGTTTCATTGTTATAAACAACACTACAAAATGTACATTATTTATTTATAATTTTTTAAATTTATATTTATATTATTTTTTCAGATATGGTCACGGTGCTTTCCTCTTGTGTTTAGAAGCTTTATATAGGGTAGGCATATTTATATATTTCAGAACATCAGTTTGATAAGAAAAGACAGAAATCTCCCCTTCTTTCGTCGCCAATCTTCGGACATATATAGATAGCCTGTACAGCGCACATTTCCAATAATACACCAAACAAAAGAACGTACTTTCACTTTGATTAACCATGAAGAGTACAACTCTTATTTCAACTCATTTTGGTGACCGCCTGTTAGGTTTCAAACCTCATTTTATATTCTTATTTTACAGAAAATAACTGGTAAAGATATCCACTATACAGCTCTTATTGGTAAACCTTGTGAAATTACCTATAGATTCGCCGAGCATACAATCAGTAGAATAGCTAAACAGATGGGCATCAAAAATAAAATCAAGAAATTATACTTTATTGGGTGAGTGTCTTTATTATCGATCATGTAGGGTCGTGGCTACCATCTTGAACGCGTAGTATTCATTCATTTAGTCTCCTTTGGCAACAATAATCAAGGTGAGGAGGTCGAAGGTGAATACTTCCACCGAATTCATCTATAGAGACTTAGATGTCTAAAGTCACCGATAATATCAAACGGCGATACTCTTATTTGTCTGAAATTGTCAATTGATGTATGTTGATTAGTGATTAAAACATGAATGATCCCCATCAGTATAAATTGAAACATTCCGACGTTGACCAGGACAAGAAGGAGCCTCATCTCAAAGACGGTTAAAGATACGAGAGTCCCCCCACCCCCTTATATATCCTCTTTACTTGATTTATAACATTTGATAATGAAATTTGATGATTTTTCATTCCAGAGATAATCCTAATGTAGATATTGTTGGAGCCAATCTGTACGATCGTTACATTCAATCTTTAAACAACCGACAAAACGGGAATTCCCCAGTTAACGATACCACAATGGTTCTTCCCTCATCTCGCTTGATTCCTGATAATGCAGACCTGCATGAACAAACGGTAGAGCGGTGCCACAGTCTGTTAGTTGGAACTGGTGTCTATAAACCATCGCTATCAATCGAAGAGGAGGTCGACCAGACCGATTCCAACCAAAATAAACAGTCGATATACCACGGCCACCGAGACATCGCCCACGAACCACACCTCGCCAAACCTTCTAAATATGTCACAGACGTGTATCACGGCATTCAACACATCATAGAGAGTGAGGGCGGGAAATTCTAGTGACCGTCAGGAAGTTTTGGAAGAGAGATACTGACGTCAAGGTTTTTCCACCAATAGTAAATCATTTAGTGATTTTGTGCGGACCAGCTTTGTCTCTACAGCACGTGCTCTATGGAACCGTCGTGGAAGAGATGCACGTGCAGACCGGTGCTTGTTTGATATCGAATTTATTCCATTTACTGTGATTTTTATATAAACTTATAAACATTGTGTTTCTATGGAGACTATTTTTTAAGATTAAATGTTGATTTTTGATTCATGTTGCCGTTGGTTTTGTCTAAGTTTGTTATTTTTGTCGTCTGAAATTGTGTAAATATTTACAATTTTGATTTTATGTTTGGATTCTTGTGATTATCTAAGTCAATATAGATATAAATAGGGCAAATTGATAGTACTGTATAATTATCATTGTTAATTTGATCAAAAACGTCAGAAAAATCCAGAATTTAAGAAATACAGTAGTCTGAAATTACATGTACTGAAGGCTACTAACTCAGAATGGAGTTATCTTCCTTGATTTACAAGAATATAATCGTATAATCGAAATTTCTTAGCTTTTAAATTGTTTTAGATACACTCTGAAGTTGATCTAATATAGAAACACTGGCTGAGGTCACTAGTTAGGGTGGTACAGTAGCACCAGTTGTTTTTTTGGGTGTTGTATTTTGTTTTTTTTTGTAAATATATTAACACATTACAATGAACCTTGTGATTTTGTTATGTTTTGGTCGAAATTTTGATTGATCTACCTCATTTTGAAGACAAATTTTAATGGCTGTTCTACAAAAAGGCGAAAAATAGCAAAAATTGATTGCAAAATGTATTTTTTAGTTGTATGCACGTTTGACTGCAAGAATGTTAATTGAAAATAGTTAGTGCGATTGTGTCTAAAAGTCATGAGACAGAGGGAGAGAGTTTTAAAACTTTGTATATTTTGTAATTGGAGAAAATATTTGTATAATTTGAGTTTAATATTTGCGATTTTTTTTTGGTGTAAATCTTGGTCGAAAAGTGAAGTTGTAAAGCCTATTTTTTGAAAATATATTCGTGAGAATTTTCGTGCATATTTGTTATTCGTGGTCAATGTATGAGAGATTTTGATACAATTTTGTAATGTGTGGTAGTTTGTAAGTGTGATGTATGAAAGTAAATTTGTAAATTGAAGATTTTGTATATTCAGTAATTTATGTAGTTCACAAGAATTTTGAATAATTGACATGTAAAATAAAAATTTAAAAACATTTTGTCTTAAATAGCGGTGAGCCTCTCGGGTGGGGTGGGGTATTCAAATGATTCAACTCAAAGTCACTTCTCTAATAGGAATGATAGTTGTAACATTGTATTGAAAACAATATTACGAAAGCACAGGCACAGGACTTATAAGTTTATAGTTCTAGAAAATAAACAAGATAGGGAGAACATTGAAACGTTGCAATATTATTAAACAGTAAAAGTGTATTATTCATTATTCATTCATTATAGTCAATTGCTAAAAGCCACTTAAGAAGTAATATAGGGTTAGACGTGGGGTAGCGGGGGTGGGGTAGCGGGCTGTGGGGTTTAATATACACAGGGTGGTAAATGAGATTACGTTACTGAGAAGGCAGTAATTCTATGGGTGGTCTAGCCCTCAAGACCTGAGCCTCCTGAAGCTAAGAATGATATAGAGCAAAATTATCAATTTTAACAAATCTAAAGCTGTGTCATCTTCACATTATCAAGCTATTACCAACTTCATCTTCACATTGATTGTGATAACCACCTTTCTTGTATCACGCACTTCAGTGATACAAGAAAGGTGGTTATTGCAGTCAAATTATAAGACGGGGTTCGTTATCGCTTGATATTGTGAAGATGAAACTTGGCACCTAGCTCTCTGTAATTTTATTTATATAGAAAAGCGTTCGACAAACAAACACAGTTTTAACTTTATTTCAATAAAACTACACCCAAACTCAGAATATAGATTATATTTAAAACAATAACAATAGGCTCCAAATTTCAAAATATAAACTTAACAAAACTGTTTTATACGTTCTTAGAGATAACGTTCTTTCAATAACATAGTGAACGGTGAACTTCCATCTCACGCCATTTTGTTTTCACACTGTTTAGTTAGAAATTAATTCAGAGCTGAGATCTATTTCATTTTCAAAATCTGAAACAAATAAAGGAACATAAATTACAGTTGATGGTAAAAATATGTTTGTAGCGTTATTTTGATATAAAAATCAAAGAAGATCATGTATTCTCTGTCTCGATTTTAAATATAACACACAACACTGTGATAAAATAAGTAGCTGTATTTAAATACTTAAATTATTACAAGATACAAACGTCTGCACACACAAAGTCTAAATCGAATCTAACGATTTTCTCTACCAAAATATATATAACATTACTAATAGATAGATATATATCATTATATGTTATGTCGAAATGGTCCTACCAATATAAGCTGGGACAGTTTAGATAGTCAAAGATCAGACAATTGAAATTCACAATTAAACACGGGGTAAGGCTATCCATATATATCTTAGGGTATTTTCCGATATTTATGACAAAATAGAATCTTTTGACGCCAGCTGACATTCTCTCTCCCCACCCCCACCATTTCCTGCGCCCTTTTTGAAGCACATATATTCTTTGACTCTCCCTCTTCTCTCGAACTAAGTCATTAGTTAATTCTTTGAATCTCTCTTCTCTCGAACTAAGTCATTAGTTAATTCTTTGACTCTCCCTTCTCTCGAACTAAGTCATTAGTTAATTCTTTGAATCTCTCTTCTCTCGAACTAAGTCATTAGTTAATTCTTTGACTCTCCCTTCTCTCGAACTAAGTCATTAGTTAATTCTTTGACTCTCCCTTCTCTCGAACTAAGTCGTGGGTTATTTAGTGTACGATAGACACCAGGTGTAAGGAAGTGTAAGTATACTAACCGTCATCAGACTCGTCATCAATATTTATAATCCCCACTGTGGGTATTTGATATTTCCCTGGGGTCCTTCTCAACGGGCTGAAACATAAAATAGAATACATGGCGTGGGTGCAGATAGATATCACAAGAGAAGGTAAAGGAACCTTGAAGCAGGGTTAAACCTCTTACATTAGGCCACGCAATTAAAATTGACATTTCTAAATAAAAACTTCACAAAAACTGATCTAATACTTACGTAGACCGAAACATCGGCCTCTATTCCAGCCTCTGATAGCTATTTTGAAAACATTATGCCCTATTTGGTGGGGATTTTCCTCATCTGAGAAGGTGTGAGGGTTTTAAACATATTTCTTTAAATCGGTTCCGTCAAACCCAGATAAATTCAGAAAGATCGTTATTTCTATAGTTAAGTCATATCGTCATACACCCCTACATCATTAATGTCAGGACTGAGATTCCCTCTAATTTTTTTTAACGAAATTAATTTCTCGTCGGCTAACTAAAACCTAAAGTTTAAGGGTCACAGAGTCACGTGATATTAACAAAACGAACGTTACGGTGAGGCCCAACACTAATTTACAGTCATCGTCAAGGTAATTTAATATCATGTTACAATAAACGCATCTTAGGAGGTGTGAAAAATCAACTCTCAAAATATCTATCAAAGGCTTGAATAGAGCTCTATTACTTACGCTGTTCTTGCGAAGAATTCGCTGTCTTCGTGGCTTACATCCATATATGGTGATACCAGAGAGTCCGAAGACATCTTTATCTGCATGCTGTTATCCTTCAACATTTTCTACCAGGAAAAACAACAACTACAAAATACAGATTCGTATCAATTCTTATAACAATACTTTCATTATCCAAATAAATATTTCAAATCAGACATTTTTAGTCGTTTGTGAGCTCAGGTCTACTAAATCTAGCCATTGATCAGAGTCATTCTTTAATAATGAATTATAATACAGTCATATTCACTGGAGTACAGACTATATCCTTCAAATACAAAATGATTTTTCTGCAGTGAAATAGAATGAAATGGAAATTAATAGCCTATTTGAAATGTTCTAAATGTGCAAGAGTTCAACTTGTCGTCCTATGCTATGGAATCGTATTTATGATAAGACGAGGAAAGCAGGTATTGGTTGAATTTCAATCATTTGTCTTAAGATGCAGGCCTAAGCTAATCTTTATAAGCTTAAGTATAAAGGAATCGAACTAATGAAATAGAGTCAGTAGCGAAAATTTGTTCAAACACAGAATTATGTAGGTTTTTTTTTTCTCTTCTTGGTCTGTAGGGCTAATACACAGAAGTCTAATTATTTTTCAACTGGAGCTGATCTCTGTATTTCCGTGATAAATTGGTTGAAAATTGCCCTACCTTTGTTTTAGAGTAAACATTCTCATAAAATCACAAACAATCAAAATAACGTCACTGTGACGTCAGACCATTTTCTGTTATAATTGTATTCGTCTAGTTTAACGGCGCTCAATATTGTATAGAACAAATTGTAAATGAAGTATTATTTTGAAATGGATTCTTTCTTTTCAATATGTTTCTATGAATTATTGTCAACTCATCTTTATGGTCGATTTGACAAAGATTTGTCCTATTTGACGTTATCTTGTCCGAATTGACGCAACAATTAAAGGGAGGTAATAACTCTCTAGAAAATAAAACCACAAACAGTTAAATCAAAACATTGGACACGTGACCTGATGAATAATAATGTATATTTTGTAGTTTCGGTAGACTTTCAAGTTTTTCCTGAAATATGAGGTTTTTGATTATTTCCCGTCACCAACTGATGACTTAAAGATGACTGAATTTCCGTCCAAAAAAATCGTGACTCTGAAGAGTCTGACAACGGAGGAATTTTTGAGTTTTTCAGGTCCGAACGACTTTACTGTCGGTGAGTATTATCATTATGGAACTCTGTTTCCGATTCCTGCTAGTGATTGATGGAAGCTGTCAGTGCCTTGACGACGGTCAGTGACAATACCCAGAAATTCAATTGTCACCATGAATTTTGCATTTGGTTTGTTCTTATTATAATGTAGAATGAAGATTTATAATTTGAAAATGAATTGGCATATAAACTTGTCATCAAATTTTTTTGAGTTTATTTTTGTTAATTTAATATTGACATTAAATGATGCTGTCAGTGACAGTGACACATGGATTGTTATCCTGATTCATGATTTCATTGTTTTATTTGGACAAATTGAGAGTGACATGACAAGAGGGTACAAAAAATTAATGAATTTAAAGGAAATTTAAAAAGAATTCAAGGCCTGTTGTCTGCATTATTTGTCATTTGATACAATTTGAAGAGTAGAGGAGAGGTACATGAAATAATTTCTCAGTGAATGTTAAAGGGAATGACTTAAAGGGATAGATTCAATTTCGACAGTGAGCTGTGGAAACTATTGCTGATAAGCTGAGTTATTCCTGTTTCTTAGACTAAGGTATGTAACTGGTCAAACGGATGGTGAACGTGTTCTTTTGAAGAGCATGACTCTATGTAACATGACTTGGTTAAGGCAGGCCACTTCACGGATATTTATCACATACTACACAACATCTGTGACAAATTATTTAAACATTAAGAGTAGACCTGTTCGATATCTTAATAATGATAATGGTCTGAATTATGAGTGTAATGCTATTTAAATAGTTGAAAAAATTATTGGATTTTATATTGGGGCTATTTAGTTTCCTTTTTTTTTGCAATTTTTTAATTAATTAAGAGAATGTCGTAAAGATATTCAAGCCAAATATATCAGCAATAATGGCCTCATAATCTGGTCAAAAAAAAACTAAGTTGAATTGTAGGAAAACATACTGTAGGAAAGACATATAGATAGTGAAACTTCTAATTTGAGGTATTTTTGTAGGGAATTTATGTGCAGTTTTAGCACTTCTGAAGACTATTTACATATATTCGAGACCCAAAATCAAATTCAGAAAGGGTTAACCATGGCTGAGTAGAATACTATTATAACAGTTAAAATAAACCTTAAACATATAAGATGAGATGAATCTGATTTCACACCATAAAAGGTACAAAATACCAAAATGTAATTACCAAAAGTGAGAAGAATGACAATGACCTGGAGGTGACCTTTTTTGTGGAATTGTAGGAGAACTGAGTGTCTGACTATAATTCTTATTAAGCAATACGAGTAGCTGATACGACAAAAACATTTGTATAGATTCCTGATATAGAATATTGATTAATAATAAGATCAGTACTGGCTGTAATTGAAACATGATATATTATTGATGGTATAGTTAGTGTGATAAACAACTACTAAGATCGAGACTATTTATTATGTAAGGTCAACGTAACATATTAGGGTAAAGCGGTGGCATTGGTCATACAGGGATACATCATAATATAATTGTTATTATAGAAACAATGATTGACTTTTACTATTCCAAAATCTAATTAGGAGTCTATTGTAAATATTGTATTAATTTGTAATACATGCCTCTAACATGATTTTTAATTTTATTTTTTCATGAGAAATAATTATGTCAAGATCTATATATCGTATGATTCATTGATGTAGTCACTGATTCTAAATTCTATAAATAGCACTACCAACTCTCTTTTTCCTGTTTCACGAAATTTTACAATCAATTTTGTGTCGTTAGTTCTGGTATTTCTCCAGACATATTAAGGAAAGGAGCCCAGATATTCTCGTCTGTGTAGAAAATGAAATGAAATGAATGGAGTTTTACGTCCTACTTTTCTGTACCATGTGGGCTAATGAAGACGGGCAACGCCATGCAGGGTGCCATGAGGAAATTTTGTCAGGACACCAGCATTAACCTGCTCTTTTTCGATATCCAACTGTCGAGGAATCTTTGACATGCATCTGTAGCACACGAGGCCTCTCATCCGAACGACTAGACGCTTTTTCCATTTCAGCCTCTCTTACCTGCATCACTGACAGGGGGAAACTTGGTTGAAAAATCCAAAGGTATTATCTTGACCTATGCCAGATTGAACCCTGGACCTTCAGGTTAACTTACTAAGCCACTGCGGCTCCCACCGTCTGTGTAGAGAAAACACCTAATTAACTAGTCAAAAGATTTTCTTCACCAAACCTGTCCATCATTTTATATTCTTCTCCATTTTAAAAATTCTTCAACAGCTTGAAATAGAAAAAGACTGGGATTTTACCAACGTGGTCAAGTTTCCCTCATTGTACACTGCATACTGTGTTCATTGAAATTATTCTTGAACATAAAAATTGTGATAAAATTTCATTTTCCTTTATTCCTTTTTCAGGTTTAGCAGCTGATGAGAAATTAACGTCGTGTAGTCGTTGGTCTGACAACCATCAAGACGTCTGCTTGTCGTTATTTAACCTGACAATATGGCCGACGGAGGGAACAACTATAACACCATGTACTAGAGATTTACCGTGTATCGTGGGAGAAGATTATATTCAATCAGAGACTAATCTTACTCCAGGTATCCAATCTGACTAAATGTTGTTTTATTTTTTTGAGGGGGTCATCTGTAAACTATCAGTAATAAAACAGTCTTTCTGTCAAGAGCTCTGATTGGCTGTATTCCCTAGTGTTCAATCCAATCAAATCGTTGCATTCTGTGATACAAGAAAAGAACCCAATTAGGTCAAGGTAATAGATGTAGTTAGTGATGAAGAAGATGGAGGGTTGAATGAATGGTTTAAATTATGAGTATAAATTCAATAACCCTGATTTTTAACATATTAAAAAATTGTTTTAGAAATATTTAAGATTTATCTGCTGTGAAAGTCTAAGTTTCTATCATTTAAATGGTAGTGTTTGAATTAGCTGATCAGTTCATATCACCTGGTATTATAATTCAAACAGTTAAAACTTGTATCAATCTAAAATTCTATAACATTGTATAACATTGTTTGTCGATTGTATTGCATTGTTTGTCGATTGTGTTGCATTGTTTGTCGATTGTATTACATTGTTTGTCAATTGTATTGCATTGTTTGTCGATTGTATTACATTGTTTGTCAATTGTATTGCATTGTTTGTCAATTGTATTGCATTGTTTGTCAATTTTATTGCATTGTTTGTCAATTGTATTACATTGTTTGTCAATTGTATTGCATTGTTTGTCAATTTTATTGCATTGTTTGTCAATTGTAGGTAGTAAAATAGAAATAGGAGATAAAATACTGGAGTTTATCGACGGTCCCTTACCAGCTAAACGTCGTCAATTACCACCGACACCTGGTGTTCATATCCAATCATCGCCTCCTAGTAAACCAACACGACCTAATAGATCATCAGCTGATTCTTCACCAAAAAAGGTAGGTATTGTTCTAAAGTTATTGGCTTTTATTTTGTATCCAGGGTTTAGACCAATTGATTTAAGATTTGAACGACATATAGAAGCGAGGAGCACATATAACAAAAACACAAGACAATATTATGGAATATAACACACTTTATTTGGTGTTTTAGTTTTCAACTCAACATCCCTTTGACAGAGTCTATCTAACTTGTAATATTGATGTGGTATTTAGGTTTGTTTATTGGACATCATGTATTACTGATATTATTACTAATATCTACTAATATTACTTTACCAAGATTTGTTATGGTACTGATTAAGTTTTCCTCTGTAGTTGATAAAATATAATATAACCCTAGTCAACATAATAATATAAATTTGATTCTACAGATGACGAGTCCAGTAGATCCGTTAATTACAGAGGATAAGAGAAACGATCTAGAATTATCAGATGAATGGAATCTCTTACATCTTCCTACCATGGAGAATGAACTGATCAATCAGTTACAGACACCTGAACAGGTACTTATTATATCTTATAATCTTATTATATATACCAGGGGACGGGGGACAGGGGCTGTAGTGGAAGGGGCAGGTGGAATGTAGGGGAAGAGACAGGGTCAGGGGGTTGGGGTGGTAGTTACAGACACCTGAACAGGTACCATAATCTTATTATATATACCAGGGACATAGAAACAGGTACCATAATCTTATTATATATACCAGGGTCATAGGAACAGGTACCATAATCTTATTATATATACCAGGGTCATAGGAACAGGTACCATAATTTTATTATATATACCAGGGACATAGGAACAGGTACCATAATCTTATTATATATACCAGGGTCATAGGAACAGGTACCATAATCTTATTATATATACCAGGGTCATAGGAACAGGTACCATAATCTTATTATATATACCAGGGTCATAGGAACAGGTACCATAATCTTATTATATATACCAGGGTCATAGGAACAGGTACCATAACCTTATTATATATACCAGTTTCATAGGAACAGGTACCATAATCTTATTATATATACCAGGGTCATAGGAACAGGTACCACAATCTTATTATATATACCAGGGTCATAGGAACAGGTACCATAATCTTATTATATATACCAGGGTCATAGGAACAGGTACCATAATCTTATTATATATACCAGGGTCATAGGAACAGGTACCATAATCTTATTATATATACCAGGGTCATAGGAACAGGTACCATAATCTTATTATATATACCAGGGTCATAGGAACAGGGGACAGGGGGGTGTATGACTCGCATATAGGCCGTGACAGTCCAATTACTGGAAGAGAGTTATACAGGTGAAATGCCTGTTCCCCAATCCTTTTCATATTTAAGTGAAAAAAAAGATTCACCTATAAGGGATTTTTTAGAATCTGTCTCTCTAGTTTGAAGAGTATCTCTATCGTATTAAGTGTCACATGACATCATTTAATTTCCAATATGGCTGCTTTTATTGATTTGGGACAGGTCATGATATCTCTTCCAGCACCTGATGCCAGTCTTTGACTTTATTTATCAAGTCAGAGAGTCCACAATGCTAATATTCTTTGTGTGGTCAGTGCGAACCCACTAGAACATAATCCCTCAGGACTGATAAGAGGTGCTGGTGTTAAGAGTTTGTTGGTTTTTTAGGGAAAAGACTACTCAAAGATGGGTTTCAATGTACATGTATATGATATTTCAGATAGCCAATCTCTCAGCGAGTTATTTAAACAGACAGATTAATCAACATACAGATATAAAACTACAACCTTTATTAGTAGATCAGATCTTTAAAACATTCCAGGTTAGTTTACGACTTGCTTCACCAGTTTGAGTTTCATTTAAATCAGGGGTCACTGACTGATATCTGATGGAATGTCTCAACAGTGGACTAAATTATAGCATACAATTGCCAGCTGGGTTTCCTCCAGCAACCTAATGCAAAGCTTCTAAAGCTTACAGTCAGCCCATGATGAGCTTACCTGGAATCGATTGGTTGAGTTTTAAGCTCCTGCACGTGATCACCTGCACACTGACAAGTCAAACGTGGAAAAATCGCCCTGTCTCCCCTTTTTTTTTTGTTGACCAGTTCCCACTGACTGATTTTTTTGAAAAAATCGCCCAAAGTTGCATCAGAATTATATGACTACCCTAGTCTTCTTTTATTGTTTTTCTCAAATCATTACTTGAACTTTTACCAAGTTGATTTACTCCCTTCGTTAAAAGTTGGTTTGTATTTCTGCTCACTGCTGTCTTGTTTTCCTTTTCCAGGATGTGGCTGTACATAGAAGAGATATCTTAGAGAGTTTCCTTCAGGATTTTGCCAGGGAATTATCCATCACTCCAGATGAAGAAAAAGGGAAACCACTCCACAGACCTATCATAGCTTTACTAGTAGAAATCCTCAAACAGTTCCTTGTAAGATTTTGATAATTTCTTATTTTTATTACTTGTAGACATTATCAGGGGAATATCTTTGCTAAATCTGTGTTTAACACATTACAGTATAATCCAAAATGTTTTTGAATTTAAACTTTGTGTTTTGAAAAAAAAGTTATAAAAGAGACTTATATGTGTTGTAAAGGAAGTTAGAAAGGAAGTATTTGTTTTTAATGTTGATACTTTAATATATTATCTATTTAAATTAATAACAATACGCAGACTGAAATAGGTCAGTTGTCTGAAGATCAAATAGCGTGAAACTCTGACTAACAACAACATGATTTATTAAGTCCTGTTTTAATATTTCTCTTAGTAACAACATGATTCAAGTTCTGTTTTAATATTTCTAATTAATTCATGTATTTTTAGGATCCACCATCCCATGTGTTACTCTGTTTACAACTTCTACGAGCTATCAGTCATATACCCAGTAATTTATACCCGTTAATAAATTACCAGACTACAGCAGCAGTCCTCGGTAGTATGACAGCTTACCTCAACATAGTAGACATACAGAAATACAGTCTGGATATTCTAGTCAAAATAGCCACGTATAAACCAGATGTATTAGAAAAGGTCAGTATAGATAGCTCAGGAAACTTTGCTCAAAACTGTGCAGGCCATGACCAAACTGTTTTATATAAAAAAATATATAATATTTGTCTGTAAAGTAAGTAAGAAACAGTAGAAAGAGATCTCAATTTCATTTCATACCATTTTTCATTATGAAATACTGACTTATAACAGATATACTTCCTCATGCGAAAAGTTCATTAGCTGTTACCAATGTTTTGCCATTAGGTTGTTTCGCGGTTCGGATCGTTAGTACATGGTTTATTTATTCAAATTTTAATATGTATATATGATTTTGTAATTGTAGCCACCATTACATGAAGGCGGAATAGAAGTTATATCAATGACGATACAACATCATCATACTAATCTAGATATCGTCCAATCAGGACTCCGCGTTCTCTCCAATTTAAGTATGACATTGTATCAGTCAGCTAGTCAAATTATAGATGATAGTAAGTATGATACAGAGTTATTGCCCTTGTTTTACATACTACATACAGAGTTATTGTCCTTGTTTTACATAGTAGATACAGAGTTATTGTCCTTTTTTTACATAGTAAATACAAAGTTATTGTCCTTGTTTAGATAGTAGATACAGAGTTATTGCCCTTGTTTTACACAGAAGATACAGAGTTATTGCCCTTGTTTTACATAGTAGATACAGAGTTATTGCCCTTGTTTTACATAGTAGATACAGAGTTATTGTCCTTGTTTTACATAGTAAATACAGATACAGAGTTATTACCCTTGTTTTACATAGTAAATACAGAGATATTGTCCTTGTTTAGATAGTAGATACGGAGTTATTGCCCTTGTTTTACATAGTAGAGTTATTGTCCTTGTTTTACACAGTAGATACAGAGTTATTGCCCTTGTATAACATAGTAGATACAGAGTTATTGCCCTTGTTTTACATCGTAGATACAGAGTTATTGTCCTTGTTTTACATAGTAAATACAGATATGGGGTTATAACCCATGTTTTACATAATAGATACAGAGTTATTCCACTTGTTCAGATAGAAGATACAGAGTAATTGTCCTTGTTTCAGATATTAAATACAGTAAAGAGATATTGGAGTCTATAGATATTAAGTGTAGAGTTATTGTCCTTGTTTCAGATATTAAATACAGAGTTACTATCCTTGTTTCAGATATTAAATACAGTAAAGAGATATTGGAGTCTATAGATATTAAGTGTAGAGTTATTGTCCTTGTTTCAGATATTAAATACAGAGTTACTGTCCTTGTTTCAGATATTAAATACAGTAAAGAGATATTGGAGTTTATAGATATTAAGTGTAGAGTTATTGTCCTTGTTTCAGATATTAAATACAGAGTTACTGTCCTTGTTTCAGATATTAAATACAGTAAAGAGATATTGGAGTCTATAGATAGATATGTTCGTATATTAGATGCTGTAAGTTGGAGTTGTACTAGTATTATACAAGATGCCATGAAGAATTTTAACACGGATCTCAATATTAAGATTGAAGGGAGACGATTCATGTATGTTTATGCACAACTTCCTCATCTCATGTACGTTTTAATTTTTACTTCTTATAACTTTAATAATGATCAATGTTTCAAACCATGGTTTCACCCGGTTCCCACCTGTCACTGAGGCCGGTCAGAGGAGCTGACATGGAAAAAGTGTCTTGTCGTTCGGATGGGATAATAAACCAAGGCTCTACATGTGCTACGCGTGCCCTATTCCACACTTCATGGCTTTGCTTATCTTCATTAGCCTGATCAAGAGCAGAAAACTCTGTTCAATTTCAGACAAAGAAAGAATCAGT